TTTCAGGGCATGGACCTAAAACCAACTGCTATGCCATACTACTGTCCGATTATAAACTTTTATTTAATGGTGAATGTAGTCTGACACCATGATCAATATTTATCGATTAAGTTTCAGTGGGGGTGGGGGGTTTGAGAAAAAAACTAAAGGAATTTAGTTTTTTATCCTACATTGAACTTTTGATGTTGTCCCTTATTAATGACCTAAATTGTTTCCGACTAGAACTGGTTACTTAGGGATGCCAGTCTTCCCAGCCCACTTGTTTTTTCAACACCCGGGGGTGAATTTGGATGGTAAAGACCAGAGTTTCAATCAATAATAAAATATTGAATGATGCATAGCAAGTTTGACCAATAGTGGACCACTAGATTCTACACAGTAGAGTAGGAGTGGGGTTACGGTTAGAACAGCACACATCTATAACCCCTTCCCAGTCCATAAAAAAAAAAGATCAGTATTGTTAATGCCAACAAATTTAAAACAAAATATTTATTAGTTTTTATCACATTTGTAAATCCTCACCAGATACTAAATCGGTCAATACCCTGCCTGCTAAAGGTAGAAAACATGGAATTTTCGATATGCAATGAGGAATAATCTGTTGACTATTTCCATTAGTTCATTATGCAAGGGTGACCGTGTAATTCTATACAACCTTGCGTGTTTACGTATTGACCAATCATGGCACAGAATCTTGTGTGTTTTGGCATATTGAGGGTGGAACATCACAGATTCTAGGCATTAGTTGTGTGTATACTATAGATCACCACATAGATTTTAGGCATTAGTGGAGTGTAGAACACCACATATTCCAGGTATTAGTGGCATGCATAAAGAGTGGAACACTAGACAGAATATTAAGCTACTTTTCTTGATAGATTGTCCAAGTCACCTTTATTTGTATATGGAAAATTCATTACCAAATATCAATACACATGGGAAGCTTATTGATCAAAACAGGACATGCTATGGTATGTAGTAGCGAGCCCTCAATATACAACAAACAAAAGTATTCCCTCCATGGTTTATTTGGAATGCATAATTTTTCGATATTATATACATGTCATGTGATCATATCTGAATGCCAACATTCTTAACATGGATCTCGATATCGAAGATTGTACAATTTTAATTGATGGATTACTTTATTACATTTTTTTTAAAAACAGGAAGTGAATATTTTGGGAATGGTTAATCTTTAGCAGTGATTTGTCTAATGTTCACAATACCACCTTAAGGTACAACAGAAACAAAGTAATTACACAATTAAACACCTGAGGGTGCTGTACTGCAACATAAGAAGTCCCAGATATGCTCAAAAATTTAGTGCAACATTCTGAATAACTACAATAGTCTAATTTGCACAGAAAATAATGCCAAAAATGTAAAAAAAATTATCATCACAAAAAATATACAATTATGCCTTCTCAAATTTAGTTCCCTCGATAAAGACAATTCTTGCAAAAACAGATGTTACTATGGTAGCTGTACTGAAGATAGGGGAACATTATCCATTTCTAAACATCCTTGGTGTTTATCACATGCGTAACCATGGGGACAACAGTGTTCACCACCATCACAAGAGACAGCCTATAAAAAGAATAACAAATATGATGTCAAAAATTTAATTTTTTTAACAACATTGTATATAAAATCTATATCTCATAACTAGGATTACATTTTTCCTAAAACAATTTAGTGAGCGCACTATTTCTTACTGTACTAATGCCTAGGTGTGATGTTAGTAATATGGTATTATGTAGCCTAGAACTATTGTGGAGTTTCACTCACTATTTCTTACTGTACTAATGTCTAGGTATGATGTTAGTAATATCGCATTATGTAGCCTAGAACTATTGTGGAGTTTCACTCACTATTTCTTACTGTACTAATGTCTAGGTATGATGTTAGTAATATCGCATTATGTAGCCTAGAACTATTGTGGAGTTTCACTCACTATTTCTTACTGTACTAATGTCTAGGTATGATGTTAGTAATATCGCATTATGTAGCCTAGAACTATTGTGGAGTTTCACTCACTACCCGGTATTTCTTACTGTACTAATGCCTAGGTATGATGTTAGTAATATCGCATTATGTAGCCTAGAACTATTGTGGAGTTTCACTCACTATTTCTTACTGTACTAATGCCTAGGTATGATGTTAGTAATATCGCATTATGTAGCCTAGAACTATTGTGGAGTTTCACTCACTATTTCTTACTGTACTAATGCCTAGGTATGATGTTAGTAATATCGCATTATGTAGCCTAGAACTATTGCCTATTGGGGAGTTTCACTCACTATTTCTTACTGTACATACTAATGTCTAGGTATGATGTTAGTAATATCGCATTATGTAGCCTAGAACTATTGTGGAGTTTCACTCACTATTTCTTACTGTACTAATGCCTAGGTATGATGTTAGTAATATCGCATTATGTAGCCTAGAACTATTGCCCATTGTGGAGTTTCACTCACTATTTCTTACTGTACTAATGTCTAGGTATGATGTTAGTAATATGGTATTATGTAGCTTAGAACTGTTGTGGAGTTTCACTCACTATTTCTTACTGTACTAACTGTGCCTAGGTACGATGATAATTATGAATAGTCACCGGTAATGACAGTAAAGTTGAAAAGTATTATCAATCATCTGTAAATTTCATTTTATCTGAAATAAACAACTCCCTGGCTCCTTTCCCTTACACTACTCTTAACATTTCATAGCAAACAGAGAATGCATAAATCTGAATGGGTAATAAGATATACTGGCATAGTTCCCAGGTTCAATAAAATACACACAATGCATCAGCAAGCAGATTTGAAAAACCATGCTTTCATGGCATCTTGAGATTCAAACTTGGGAAGTCACAAACATGAAAATTTAAAATAACTTACATTTGGCATAGGACAGCAGTTATATTGTCCAGAGGTTGTAGCTGTGCAAGTCTGCCCACTCAGACAACCTGTCAGACCATCTGGACAAACATCCA